TATATATATATTATCCGAAATAATCAAAAGATTATGAAAAATTAAATTATGAACAATAAAAACAGTATGTTCTACTTACTATTAAAAGATTCTAATAATTTAAAATTAAATAATTCAATTTTATCAAATAGTCAATTGAAAAACATTGTCATCGTTTATAATTCGAAACTCACGTTTTGTAGTTAAAAGATTTTATTTTGTGATAAATGAAACAATAATAAAAGTTTTAAACGTTTGTTGTGTGCAATATAAACGTGTTTATAATTATTTACATTTCGGGTAAACTAAAGTCTTGTAAGTTGTAATGGCATAAAAAGATGACAAGTCTTTTAACAACCACAACTAGTTTCTAAATTACCAATGATAAAACTTCCATCCATAACTCCTATATGAAAAGTTGCTATAACATGCTCAAGTCAAAAATTAAAAGTTGGTAATGTATTATAAAATACGACCTAGATTGCTTTTTACCAAGTAATCCACTTTGATTATGATTAATTTAGTCTTTGCTTTAGATATATAAAACTGTTATCATTATCTCATATTTGAATTTTAAACTTATACACGAATTATTGGAATTAGATATTTTATAGGGAAAATTAATATTTACCGAAAGTACATAAAAGATCCATTTTCTCTTGAAAATGAGAGAGAATCTTAGCAAGAAAAATCAAACAAGCCCTTTTTACATAGTGATAATATATTAATGATTAATTATTAATCATTAATAATTAAACAATAATAATTATTAATAATTAATAATTACTAATAATATGATTGTTTATCCACGGTTTGCTGCTTGAGAAAGCTCTGCTGCTTTAAAATGAAAGCCTCAACGGCAAGCCGAAACTCTTCGTTGCTCAACCTCTCGACCGTCTCCGATGAACTCTCCGGCGAGTCTCCGTTTCCGGCAGTAACAAAAACGCTTCTCCGCCTCTCTGTCACCGACCTCCTCAACTCGCTACGAGGCCGCATCGATATCTCTCGCTTCAACTTCGCCGACTGTGTCCTTTGAAATCTCTCTATCTGCTTCGCCGCCTGCTTGATTGCCATTTCCGCCGCCACTTCCGACTCCGTTTTCACTATCGAATTCTCAAACCCAATTACTTTTTCTTGAGGTTCTTCCATGGCTGTGTGAATCACCGGTAATTCTTCCACCGGCGGCCGTAGCAATTCTCCATCTAAAGTGGCGTCACTTGTTTTATGATGATTCATAGATCTACTTTTATTCTCTTCGGAAATTTCATGATCAATGGATTCGTTTCCGACCTCCATGTGACCGGAGAAAACGTAACAAAGAAGAACGATAAAATTTCCGATAAGAAAAACGACGTGTTGATTCAATATGTAAGATGAACAGGCGTACAGATACTCGCCGGATACTTTAAAAACCGTAGGAAGGCGAGTCGACGACCATGAAATCAACGCAACGGCGACGAAGACTTCGATTAATTTAAATATTCTGGAAATGTTGTTAAACCGCTTGTGTCTGGAAAGCGCATGTGCCTTCTCCACTTGAATACTATCAAGAAAACCATACGAATCCATGATTTTTTTTTTAAATTCAAGTATTCAGAATATGATCGATGCAAAAACCCAAAAATGGTTTGAGATGTTATTCGAATTATGGGAATAAATTGTCTCGGAAAACAGAGAAAAACGGGTACATGACATGAAAATATGTTGAAACGACGGAGGAAGAAGACAGGGAGTCGAAACCGCCGGAAAATTGTGCGTTGCGGAATTGAAGGCGGAGATGGATCATAAAAAAGAAGACGCAGAGTAGTCTGAAGTGTGTGTGTATTTGAGGATTAGTTTATTGGTAAGAGAAGGGGTGGGGGGGAGGGGGGGATTTGGAGTGGGGATGGGGTGAGGACTGAGGACGATGGGGATGCCCGTGGAGAATGTTCGCATTTATAGAGGAATTGGACTTCTCAAATAATCTGGTCCTAAAATAGCGACAATATTTTGGCATTTTGTTTTTCAATACAAAATTAAATGTCGATTGAAGTTCAAGTCGACATTTGTTTCGTTTAAGATTAGATGAAGAGTTATTCAAAATAATGAGGAAAATTAGTTGATCTAACTACATTTTAACTTGTAAGAACGTTACGGATGAAAAAAAAAACATTTTTTATTACAAGAAAATACATTTCAGGCTGAATCCGGACCAACATTCCGGTCCGAAATCGAACGAACAATTCAGGGATTTCGAGAAAAAAATGTTTTTTTAATTAAATGTAATAAAAAAAATTAAACAAGTATAGTAATGTGAACTATATACGATATTAATGCATAAAAGTAGACATTTTATTGAAAAACGATAACAATAAACACTTCTAAATGTAGCATTCGGAATCCAAAAAAAATTCTTTTAAAAAAAACAAAAAAAAATCCTCTGAAATACAAAAAGTACTCAGGAATGAGGGCATTCCGTATAAACTAATTATTTTTCAAAAACGGAAAATAGAAGGTTATTTTCTTTGAAAAACCCATTTATAATGGTTTAGACTTTAGATTACTTAATTTCCCAAATAATCATAATAATTACTAGAAAGGTTACCTCCGCTACGCGGGGGCCAGAAACTTTCAATGTTGTTTCCGAATTGATAAATATGACAGACATAGAAAGTGCAAGGATGAAAAGTCCGGGCTTTGCCCCGGACAAAAAATGTAAAAGTTTTGACTACAAGGACCAGAAGTGTGAAAATGGCTAAAGAATTAAAGGTGTAGGAATTAGCAACTTTTTAGAAAATGGATCAAAGTTGTCAAACCGTTAAAGTTTTATGGCCAAACTTTAAATATTAAAAGGTTCCAAAAAAAGTGTAAAAATATTGATTGCAAGGACCAAAAGTG